CAGAGCAAAACAAAGCAACAAAAGAAAACAAAAAATCAATGACAAAAAAAAAAGCCTGTAAATAGTTCAAGGTCTGTTTGTTGACCTTTTGGAGTGTTTTCCAGTGTTTCCTGATGGGGTGCCAAAGTCTATTTTTGTTATTCTCTGGGGCCTTCTTGCTCTGCTCCCCTTGCTGTTCTGTTGCATGCCCTTAGTGTTTTGCCTTGGGGTGGTGGTGTCAGATCGGGTGCAATTCCCACACTGTGTCTCTAGTGTTGTCCCCTGTAGGGCTATGGGTCAGTGAGGGATGTTGTGTCTCATAGTGGGATTGGCTATATGTTCCTCTGTGCACTGACTGCTCTGAGCGGGAATATCGTCCTCAATGGTTGGTGGGCTAAGATGCGTTCCACTCTCTCTTCCTCCCCCTTCATTTGCTCCTGTGTGCTCTGATCAGACATGTCCCTTTCCCTGAGCTCCCAGTGCTGCGTGGTGAGGGGCTGCTGTCCACATATTGGGGATTGGGGCCGGCCTCAGACCTCTCCACTGGTTACCTGCTTCATGCCGGTATGTTGCATTCACATCTTGCAGCACTGGGTTGAAGTCTGGTCCCTCTTTCCCTGTGGAGATATAAACAATACTCTCCCCTTGGGTGGGTTAGTGCCCTGATCCCCCTCAAGATGCCTTTTACCACACCAGGAAAATGGGCCCCAACCCTTTAAAAATATCTTCAACAAGGTTCTAAGCCAATAGTATTTTAGATTTACTGACATTTTAACTTGACACATGAATTTTCCCTCTAGCTGTTATTACATTAGTTTATTTTTATTCTGAGACTTCATGTCCAGTGATGGGAAGCTCACTTAAAATCAGCTTGCCTGACTGTTATGGACAGAATATTCTTGATTACTTCTGCAGAGCTTTTGAACTACTAAAATAATACAAGTCAGCATGTATTTTCAAATTCTTCAGTGATTTTTAGAATGTATTATTCACTGTAAGCATTACAGAATTGAATTCAGAATTTTCAAAACTTTTTGCAGTTGAGACGTTTACAGCTACATTCCGATTATTAATGTTAGAGAAAAATAAGAGCAATCTAGAATACTGTGTTTATTCATACAAGCAAAATTCTTTTGACATAAACAAGCACATTCACTGTTTAAGTGAACTATCCTGTAAGAATGCATCCGTTTCTATTGTTCAAAGAGCATTTGGGCTTGTCATTTGATTGCTTTGAATTTCCATGAGGCTCATAAGACTTCCAAACATGGAAGCACCACGTCCAGGTTTCACTGTACAAACAAAAGAACTACAAACAGCCCCATGTAGATGGCAGCATGCTACCTTTACTGTGGCGGAACGGTCAGCAAAGATGGGAAATTCTCAAATGACCCTGTAAGTACAATGCAATCATAGGCCTTAGATCAGCGGTTCTCAACCTGTGGGTCGCGACCCGTTTTGGGGTGGGGGTGGGGGTGGAATGACCCTTTCACAGAGGCTGCCTGGGACCATCGGAAAACATATTTCTGATGGTTGGGCGTCACAACATGAGGAACTGTATTAAAGGGTATGAGGAAGGTTGAGAACCACTCCTTTAGATCATAAACAACAACATGCCAATTGGGTTATGAAAATGGTACTTTGAAATTTTTTTCCCTTCACATCTCCTTCACAGTTTTACCACCCCATTAGCAACAACTGGAAAGCTTATTTTAGCCAAATACAAATGCACTAGGAGTAAGCTACAAGTTGTTCCTTTGGGTAATGCGGCTCATCTGCATCAAAAGGACGCAAATAACCAGTGGGTCACAAGCAAAGCGAAGACTAAATATAAATGTTTATAAATTTATACATAAACACATGTGCTTATATGCATGTACATCTCATATGTACTGAGCTAGCTTATAAACATTAAGAATTCCCAGAATTTTTCTCAAAGCACAATATACAGATGCAATAAAATGGGTAACTATCCATACACCAAAATCTTAGCAGAAATTGGTCAACTTCAATCTTTTGACAATGGAGTTCTTACCTTATTATACAGGTTATCACAGAATTAAAATGCAAATCTCCTATCCTAACAGTTAAGTGAAAGAATATGGTATTATGTTAGCTTACTAAGTCAATGGTTTTTAACCAAATGACATGTTTATTTCTATTTTCAAACTATATTGTTTATTCATAAGATTTTAATCCTAACAGGAATAGGCAGGGGCTCAGTTTTTGGAAACTGTGAGACTTATGACAACAGTCCATCCATCCAAGGTATGATGCCATGCAGGTGATCCGGCTGCTGGCCTGGAGACATGAGTGCGGAGGCAACATGCAGATCTGGGGAAGGCAGTTTTCCTGAGTCCCATTTGTATGCAGCACATTCTCTTCGAAGGGGACGTATGCATACAGACGGCCAGTTCTGCGACCACATTGTGAGAGAGCTCCATGAAAATCCTCAAGAACAAAGAAGCTTTAAGACTGTTTACTGAATTATGGGAGAAATAGTAATGAAAACGAAGCCAAGTAATGAAAACTCATTAACTGTAGGTGAACCCTCTTATTATTTTCTTCAAACATGCTTAGGGATCAAAGAAAACACAGAACTTTTTACAGGCGTTTTAAACCATAGAACTTTCCTAACACCAATGAGCCCGACAGTGGGGGGTGGGGGTGGGGGTGTCAACGGGACGTTTGCAGAGGTTGTCCTCACGCTTTTCTCTTCACCAGGAAGCCCTCCGAATGACATGTAAATGGGACTTAGCATCGTGACCAAATCTGAATGTCTAATAAAGTCATTTCATCATCCCGATGTCCCTTGATGATCTCTTTTACACCCCATCTGGTATTTTACAGAAATGCTCTGACTAGGATACTCCTGCATCCAAAATGTGTCTTTTAATTTTATTCTTACTAAGTGCCTCGGTGGCATAGTGGGTATGAGTTGGGCTGTTAACTACAAGGTCAGCAGTTCAAAACCACTGGCCAATCATTGGGAGTAAGAGGAGGTTTCCTACTCCCCTAAAGAATTGCAGTCTCAGAAATCCACTCCATGGCAGTTCTACCCAGTCCTAAAGGGTTGGCATCCACTCGATAGCAGTGTATGATATTTTTTGGGAGTGCCTTAAGGTCATGTTTCAATGCACCACACTGCCAACAAGCTGATTCCAACTCATATAGGGCCACAAGGCAGGTTTCTCTAGGAAGGGTGATATTTCAGGCTAGTGTAGTGCATGGGGCTCAGAGTAGAAGTGACATGCCATTCAAGAAGATAGCAAAGTCTCAGGCTTGTAAGGAGGTAACTTTGGTGCAGTGATGGTGGTGATGAAGATTCAGAGACAAGGGTCTTGCACTGCCTGAAGGATTTGAGAGCCAGCTTGTATACAACAGGAAGTTGTCAGAATTCTTTGGGGGTGATGGTAGCATTTTAGGAACCCTATTTTCTGAACTTCTATAAAATAAGATACAGGAAAGGAATTGAGAGGCAAGAGAGAAAAAAGTTTGAATTCAAGAGATTGCAAAAAGGGGGGGAAATAGTTTGATAGTTTAAGAGCTTGTCTAGGAGCATTGGTGGACAGACAGTAGGGTAAATGTTGGGCTGCTAACTGCAAGGTCTGCAGTTCAAACCCACTAGATGCTCCATGGGGGAAACATGAGGCTGACTACCACAGGAGCTCTGGTAGTGGAGTGGTTATGTGTGGGGCTGAGTCACATGATTGGCAGTTCAAAACCACCAGCAGCACTACGGGAGAAAGACTGGGTTTTCTCCACCTGGCAACAGTGGTAGTGTTGGAAACTCACAGGAAGTACTATGAGTCAGCTTTGACTTGCCGTAGTGGGTATTTTTGTTTGTTTGTTTGTTTGGTGTTGCTGGTCACATAAAGATTTAGTCTCAGAATCCCTAACAGCTGTTCTACTCTAGAAAGTCAGTGGGGGTCAGAACAGACCCGGTGCAGCGGGGCGCGCTTTGGTCACAGCACGCACTGGTAATGACTGGAAGTGGGAAGAATGAGGACTCCGATGCCTCTGTAGTTTCCAGACTACACGACCTGCGAAGCGAGGGCAGGCGTTAGTTTACAATGGATGTTACAAGGGCAGCGGGTCAGGTTGGCTTGAGGTTTCTGGTGTCTACTACGAGGATTTGTGAGAAATGAGCACTGAAAGTCGTTCTAGGAAAGTGCTAGAAAAGTGACAAAGAATCGATCGTGCTGCGGGGGAAGGAAAGAGAAGGGGATGCAGGAAGGAGCAGTGTCACTGAAGAGGGGGCGAAGAGAAGGAAGTCTTGGTGTCAGAGAGGCCACAGCACACAGAACAGGCAGCACACGCTCAGACCTGACCCAGAGTCGAACGAAAGAAAGCAACAGCCTCAGTGCTCACCGTTTCTTAGGGTGGGATTTGAGGGAGGTGGATGATGAATATTAAGGAAATTACGAAGTGGACATAAAGTACTCAAAACCTGGGAGTGGCAGGGGACAAGATTACAGCAATTCGTGATGAATAAAATGATTAAAAAATAATAACAACTTTTATAATTAACCATTAAAAAAATAAAAAATAAAATGCAAGGAAAGGAACTGAGCAATACGTTTTCTTTAATTTATGACACAACTTTTCAAATTTAACATATACAGAAATACACAACATATATACATATATTTTTAAAGGGGTTTTTTTTGTGGGGGGGGGTCGCTACTGATTTTTTAAACATAGACTCAAATTATTCTTAGCATGTACAGATATATACCCAAACGCATGATTCAGTAAAGGCTTTTTCTATCCCATAAAAATCCTACTCTAGGGATCAACATTCTCAAATATATCTTTATCAATTTTCCTCTAAAATAAAAAACAAATAACATAACTCCTTAAAGGCATCACACCTTAATTTCAATTGTTGAGACTTGCAGAGCAATGTGCTATTAGTTTAATAAGTCATAATGAGAAAAATTGATTACTATGAAATCTGTTATGTAGCCTTAAAGAGACTTCTATTCATTCCATTTGTTGTAATGACAGCTGCTTTGAAGGGAAAATAGATCCTTTCTGTCATCAAAATTCTTAAATAGCCATTTCTCTGAGCCTTACCGATTAGGATTCAAAGAATATTAGTAACTACTAAATGCAGATTGTAATGTGCTTCATTAAAGCAAAAACAACAAAAAACACTTTTAGAGCCCAAAATTTTAAATTTTCTCTGGAATGCATAGAATCTTGATAACGACTAGAGTCAAAAACCAATAAATTACTTTAAAATAAACAAAGATATAATTCAAAAAACATACTTGAAAAAAAGCGGAGTCATTCATGTATAAATACACCATTAGAAAAAGAGGAGAACTAGAGGTGCCTTTTAACTTTCTTGTGCATAAGCCTGGGGGGGGCTGAAATCTGCATCCCCTCAAAAGAACACAGGCCACCAAACATTTTCCCATACAGGATCCCCTTGATTCTTCTAATAATATTATAAAACAGAAATTGCTATTCTTTCATATCTGGGTAGAAAGTGAGGCTCCGGGAGGGTCAGCAACTTGCTCAAAGTCACAGAGCAGCATAATGTTGAAACCCAGGTGGGTCCCCAAGGTGAGCAAGGATGCTTGTTGTACAAGATGACGTCCATAACCAACAGGAGTGAAGGACAGGGGCCTAGTTGGTAGTTGAACAGTCCCGGTTAGAGTCAGAGAGGACAGATGCAAAAAGAGAGGAACCTAGTTCCTGAGAGGACACAGGATGCTCTGGCTGAGGAGCAAGGAGACGCTCAATGGAAACGTCACTCATTTGTAAGTTTAAAATAGACCTGCATTTATCATTTATTCCACTTTCTTAAAGGTGGCGACTCTTCCTTTTGATAATTATTTTTAAAAGGATGAGCACAGGAAAAAATCTGACAGCTGTTGGATCCTAAACAAAGTAGGCTTCCAGGTACCATTTTTTTAGGTAGTATATAGACAACTAGCAAAACATTATGACGTGTTCCTAACAGAGCTGTGTGTTTTGTAAGAGTTTTTAAAAATGCACTTACCTCGCATATGAGGAACCAAAAGAGAAACAAATGCAGTCTATTTGACACACACACACACACACACACACACACACAAAACAAAACAAACCAGCAGAGTAACCAGGTAATTTGATTTAAAAAAAGCATTAGATTAAAACATGTTATTGAAAGAAAAAAAACAAACACAAAATTAGGAAGAAGAAAAAAAGTAAACACATGAAAATTAAGTCTCAAGGCAGGAAATCACAACCAAGTAAAAGAGGTGCAGCAACTGGTACAAACTAAGTAAACACTGTGGTGAGCAAGTTTCAATTCCAAGGATCCTGTAACAGAGCTAATTAACCTTTATTTACTTATTTGTATACTTTCTACCCTACATGGATATAAGGTAAAAAAAAAAAGTCCCAGGAAGGCTTTTAATGAAGAAGCTTATACAATTAATTAAAAGGAGGACTTGGAGTGGTGCAAAGTGGCTTGAGATTGTGATCAATAAGGAAGAAAAATCACCAAATATGTCAGATATTGTCATTTTTCATTCTCCGTATCTCATCTTGCCCCACCTGTCCAAGTTGAGATAAAAGTTTTCCATAGGCTTCCCTGTTTAAGGGGAAAAAAAGCAAAGTAAATATGTGTATTACCTCTTGTATTTAAGTATAAATTATCTGATTGCTACCTATAAGCAACAGAATTATATATAAGCCACTTTAAACAAATGTTTTATGGCTACTATGGGGAAAAAATCTAGATCCAATAGTTGGAATCTATTGGAAAACATTTTATAAAATGTATTTTTATATGTAAAAATTAATGTATGTATAGAAAATATGGGTAAAATTTAGGATATAGAAAAGTTCAATAACCACCTGAGATAATACATGGCTAGGAATGAAGTTAAGTTCATGGCATTGCTAACTAGAACATTATACAAATGGAGAGATTTCTATCACAGATGTAATACAACAAAAATTCTGTAGCTATACAACTGACCTATATATAGTCAGTATATATTCTATTCGTTCTTACTTTCTTAGAAATAAAGTTAGAATAGAAAACATTTCCCCCCCTTGATTCTCTAGTAGTTCCCTGTATTTGGAAGGGAACACAGATTTATTGTGCCTGGCAGACTCTGCTATGCAGAATCTTTACAACTAATCCTCCCCTGCGTACTTCTGGCCACATAAGGTGACAAGCTAGCTGGCTATACATCAGGGTGGCTCACAAAGAACTTGGCCGGTTTTTCCAGTTATGCATGAAGGACACTCAGAGAAGTTAATCACACATACGTGCACAAGCACATACACACGCTGTGATTAAAATACTTTCTTTAGCAAACTTTGGAACTTGGGAGTTTTAGTGTGAATACTGGCCTCATTCTCAAGCAATTTTTAGGAGCTACTGCCTTATTCCCACAATGCTACAATTATAAGTAACTTAGGATACTGTTCAATTGGTTAAAAGTCTGTCAGGAAAATAAAGCCTTATTACATATTTTAGATCCAAACCACAGTATCTAGTTGAACACTCATCACATTCACCAGATACACATGCTATCCTTGATTCAATAAACTGAGCATACCTCAAAGGGTTATAATATGCTCCTGTGGACTTTATATGAAAAGACGACACTCAAGGTTCTGAAGCCGCTTCCCAATGAGGAACGCTGACTGTGCTTTGAGCACTAGCAAGCACAACAGGAATAAATAAGCCACCTTCTGACATGGCCACTTTGGAAGGAACAACATGTGAATGGTGTCAGGTTGGCTGGGTTTGTTGATAAGCGCCATTACCTCCTGATCAGTCTTTATAAAACTGTTTATAAAAAGTTTATAAAATTTTACAATCACAGTACTGAACCAATATTTTTCCACGCAAATTAACTCTCACCAAATTTAGGGGAATGAGAAAACTAAGCCAGCTTTATAAAATGATGCTAGATGTTATCATCACTGTTCAAATCCAATTGGTAAACATACCTTTGTGCAATATTTCTACCAAGGCCACATTTCAACTCTGAATCCTTCAGCGATTGTGTGAGGGTAGAAACCAAGCGGATAACAACCTGCTGGTCCAACGCTGCTACTGTTTCCAAGATGTTATAAACCTGGTAGCTGTATCTCATACTGAAATCCTGGATAAACTGCCTGAAGGTAAAACAGGTTATGAAGGATTACTTGAGGGGCGATTCCTTGGGCTGGTAACCTACATGACTATCAGTAGTAACCTGAATACAAGAAAGATCCTTTCATGTAAGATTGCCATAACAAACCTGATGAGATGTGAAGATTATCTGTAACACTTTTAAAAAACAGAAATGATTTATGTTGGTGTGACCAAAGAGGTGGTGGTGAGGGTGAAGGGGGATGAGTTTGAATCCCAGGTCAGGGGGAAATAAAAGAAAATAATCTAACCCGAGGGACTCTTTTGCTATCCTCTTTGTTTCCAAATCCAGGTGATATGGGGATATGGAGAAGATTTTTAAAGGGTGATGGTTGTAGGTTGGGGGGGAGCGGGGATCAAGCTTCATAATTTATCCAACTAGATAAATCAAACTTTATCCAGCTAGATAAAACAAAGATTGTTTTCATGGGGAAAGCAAGTTATTAGAAAAATATATATTTGTTGTTTGTATTTTGTTAATTTCTCTCTGAACAATTTTATTGGCATATAATTAATATATCATATAATTCAATAGTTCAGTTATATTAAGAAGAGGTGTACATAGAATATATTTTTGTGTTTTTAACTAAGCAAAATACTGTGGTCTCCTAGGAGGACTTTCTATATAAAGAAAGATGTAGTTAATCAGGGTGAAGTACTATCCCCCAGGTAAGCAAGAAGCAGCTACAGGTGGTGAGAACTCCAACCCTTGTCCCAGAAAGAATTATGTATATGAAATCTCTCAGGGGGATAATGGAACTGGCGGAGAGTAAACGTGAAATCTGGAGAAAGGATGTGTGGAGCCCAGGACAATATCTAGTCCTAGGGACTACATTTCCCAGAACCCCTTGTTATGCCAATGGAAGTTCCTGAGATTCTTGCAGGAGTGCAGGAACCTTTTAAAAAGCTCGATGTGCATGCTGTGGTAAGAAATACTGTGTCTGGCCATGCTGGCTGGGTGGTTTTCTTCCTCCCAGGGGCTTCTAAATAAAATTCATTTGCAGTGTACAGAAAGAGAATGTTATCTTTTACTTCACAATTTCCATCCTGCCCCCCAATCAACAAAACCAAACCCAATTTAGCTTAATAAACTGTAGGTAGCAAGTGAATAACCTTTGTTCTATAACATCCTTTTCTTCCCTCCTAGGTCTTTCTATGTTCACTACTATCAAGTGATGACAATGAAACAAGCTGTGAACAGTTGACCAGCATCAGATAAAGACAAAGGAGCGAACGATTCAACAGACAACAATGAAGGGAACTGACCACAATTATTTTATCACGGTAATGCTAAGGCGGAAAGATGCATCAAAAACATGGCCGGGTAGAAACTGAGAGGGACATTAAAACAAAGTCAAACAGAAAATGTTCCTCAAGTTGTACTGTAAATCGTACAGACAAGAGACCCACTTGTACAAAGTCTGTGCTTCACAGGTACACCCTAATGGAGCAGAGCCTTGAGAGCATGAATGGAAACCACCGATGTGCACTTCTCACTGGGTCCAGCCTAACCACTGCGCAAGCTGGAGGCCTGGGCACCTGGAGTCCTGACTCACGGTTCCCACTTTTCCTCTCAACTACACGCAAGGGTCGGCCTTACTGAATCCTAACGTACTTTTAGTCAGCTCACTTACCTTTTCCCCTGGCACCTTTATCTTTGAATAAAAGAACACAATGTAACAAAATCTGTGCCAAAAATGCAATCATTGAAATACTATAAACAAGTAGTTGCACATTATGTTTTGGATAATTAGTTATTTAAAAAACATGTTGGCTGTCAAATGGCTGGCTACCATCTCTCTGCCAGTCGGCACGTTTTCCAGTTACCTGAACACAGAAGTCAGCTGGGCTGCGGCTTCTCCTGCTGAGCCGGCCTGGCAGGCTTTTACCATGGATTGCAGGTTCTCTGTGGCCAGCCTTTTAACTAGGAGGAGAAATTACAGCATTAGACATTGTGTCTGAATTGACCATCTGGATCCTCATTTTGAGGAACATTCTTGATTTAGGGGGAAAAAAGGTGTTTTCTTGAAAGTTATGTACAGTACATGCATTTTTGTTAATTTTTAAAATGAAACATTTACCTGTTTGTTTTGTTTTAGTCTGCTTAACTTGCATTTAAAGAAAATGTGAAAATGCCCTGTGACATCTTAAAACAGACATAATACATGTGAAGATATGTCTTTTTCTTAGAAATACATATTTCAAGATACTATAACACATACCACTATCCTGCAAACACTATTATGTAGGAAAAACAAAGTCTTAATGGCGACAACAGTTCAAACCCACCAGCTCCTCCATGGGCAAAAGATGAAGCTTTCTGCTCCCATAAAGATTTATAGCCTCAGAAACCCAAAAAGGTAGTTGTACTCTGTCCTACGGGGTTGCTATAAGCCAGAATCCACTCGGCGGCAGCAGTGTAGGTGGTGGTAGTCAGTTGCTGACAGATCCTGGTGGCAGGCACACACCTGGCATTATGCCTCTTCTGGTAGCTGATACCAGGAGGGACCTCCTCACTCTCATGCTCAGGCACCCCCTCCTCGCCATACTGGGGAGCCTGGTCCCAATTGGGGCTGCACAGTGTGGGCCTCGGAGGCTGCTGAGGTAAGGTTGCACTTGGGTCCAGGATTGCCACATCACAATAGATTGCAGACAATGCTGGAATGACACCCAGCTGAATGGTGAGGAACCAGCACCTACGGCCTACCACCAGGGATGGGGCCCTGCCAACCCTACACAAAGCCCATCATGGCTCAGAAGTCACGATGGAGGTGCTGTACCACTGCCTTGCAAACCTCCTAGTTGATATTATGTAATGAATTATTGCTCGAAAGTTTGCTCTGTCTGAAACTAATGAGTTACTCTAGCTTTCTTTCAATTTGTGATAGCTTTGCTTTCTTTCCCCTACCTTTTTTCACTTTTCATCTTTTAAAAAATTTTACTTTGCCAGTCTTTTAATGAGAATATTTAAATGACTCACATTTAAAGTAATTGACAGAGTAATATCTATCATAGGTGAAATGATTTTCTAATTGTTTAACTTGTCTTTTTTCTTTTAATCTATTTTTCTGCCTTCTCTGGTTTTAATTGAACATTTTATATGATTCTAGTCTCTTTTTTGCATATTAATTATACTATTTAAAAAAAAAGAAATTAATGGCTGTTCCTCTAGGGTTTTAAGCAGCCTTTATTGCTAATCTAAGTCTACTTTATTTCTTTTTTTATAAATCATTTTATTGGAGGCCCTTCAATTCTTATAACAATCTGTACACCAATTGTATCAAGCACATTTGTACATATGTTGCCATCATCATTTTCTTTTTTTTTTTTATATATATATATATTTTGTGTGTGTGTGTGTGTGTGTGTGTGGTTTGTTTTATTTATTTATTTATTTTTTCTTTTTTAACATTTTATTAGGGGCTCATACAACTGTTATCCCAATCCATACACACGCCATCATCATTTTCAAAACATTTTTGCTACTCGAGTTCTTGGTATCAGCTCCTCTCCCACCCTCGTGACCCCTTGATAAATTATAAAATATTATTTTCATATCCCTTTGCCCACATTTTATTGTTCATCCTCCTGGGAAGGGGGGTGCTATTTGTCAACCCTTGCACTTGGTTGCCCCTTTCTCCCCCCACCTTTCCCCTACCCTCATGGTATCACTACTCCCATTATTGTTCCTGAGGGGTTTATCTGTCCTGGATTCCACATTGCAGGTAGCTTAGAGTACAGTATTCCCACTGTCTCCATCTTTTCCTTCTAACATGTTGCCATTCATTTCAATCATCCAAAGGTATAACCTAGCCAATGAAGCATTCCTATATTACTTTGAACCACCATTAGCTCAGTGTGATAGGTAAGATTATTGTGTCAACCTGGCCAATAAACACACCTGGGGTTAATAAGGTTGCAGTGTAGTTAAAGGGCAAAGAGATAAATGGCTTGGCAAGCCTCATCTTTCTGCCTCTTGCTCTCTGATGATCAGACAAGTATGCGGCTACCTTAGCTAGTTTTCTGCCTCAACTTGGGAGCTATATTTCCTATGGTACACCCAACCCGTGGACTGTTGCTATAGTTTTGAGGTTCCTTTGAGACCTGCTTCACCACATTGCTGGCGTATACATTACTTGAGCTGGGGACTGTCGGGCCCTGTCATCTGGTTGACTGTTGGTGACCTGCCCTGTTGTTTGCTGCTGTGCCTGGATAGCCTGAATTGCTTTACAGAGCACTACCCAGCGGCCTTCAAGACTTGAAGGACTGCCAGTGTCTCACAACTGTCTCATGGAAGTGAGTTGAACTGAGCCATTTGTACTGCTCTGTGGACTAATTAGCTGTTTATTTCTTATGTTGTCTGTCTATCTATCTATCTATCTATCTATCTATCTATCTATCTATCTATCTATCTAAAATCATAAATGTCCTGGTTTTGTTTCTCTAGAGAACCCTAACACACTCAGGAGTAAAATAAAAGGTTTTATCTTTATTTATTCTTTCTTCAACATTGTCCCTTTTTTTATCCATAGCCAAGTCTCCAATCAATACCATTTTCCTTTTCTCTGAAGAAGCTCTTTAACATTTCTTCTAAGACACGTCAGCTCAGTTTTTGTTTGTCTGAGATTTTTATTTCTCCTTCAATTTTGAAGAATGATTTCAAATTCTGGGTTAATGGTCTTCCTTTCAACAAAATGTCATTCCAGTCTCTCTTACTACCAGAAGCAAAAGGGGATTCCCTGCCCCAATTTCCCTCTGAGGATCCTAAAGTAAAACTAGCAAAATGTGTGGTCTCCCGAAACCATGTGCCCTCGACTTTTTCACTCAAGCTACTCAACAATGAGCCGCCAGCAATTTCTCAATAACAATGTACCATAAGTGTCCCTACCTGTATTAGCCCCATCGTTCTCAGTATGTTTTTCCTAGCTTTAGAGCAGGTTACCCTATGGCCTCAATTCTAGGATAGATCTAAGAGATGTTACCTTTCAGTTTGTTCAGCTTTTTTCTTGTGAAGATAGTAGAGGGGGCTGTTTACATCTTGTGAGGTTGGAGTGAAAACTGTAAATCCTCCAACTATTATTGTTACATTGTCTATTTCTCTATCCATTTGTTAATTTCTTACTTCCTGAACATTAGCAGTCTGCTGTTACGATCTTGCTTTTAATTCTATTTTTTCCTTTAACTTTTTGATGCCTCCTTGTATTTTCATTAGACAGTATATACTTGGATTATTCCCTTTTTGTCCATTCTTATTGTCACTGTCTTTTAACTATTTATTTCATATTTAAAGTTATTACTAGCACTCCATTAATGAACAAGACCCAATCCTAAGTATCTTTAAATTGACTTTGTAGATAAGTTGGAACAAGTGCATATGATTGTTATTTAGCCTTACTTTAGAAGAAGAAAAAGTTCAACTCTTTTCCATGAATTAAAATCCACACAAGCCAGCGAAGATGATTGTGATAAATACTGTTAGGTGTGAGGGTTGGTTCAAGTGCTTCAAACTGAGAGCAAATTTATGCAACATTAAAGGGCAAACATGAGTTGTCTGTCAGAGCTTTGTAACACAGGAACTTACTCTATTGATAGCTACATTTGGATCAGCCATCTTACTTTTCCTCTTATTATGTTTTATGTTACTATGTTTCTTCTTTTCACCCCTCTCATCTAGCTTTTCCATTTTCTTTTAGATCAAATATTTTCTAATGTAGCACTTTCAAATCTACAGTAATTTTTTTTCCTTGGTTTTTTTTGATTTTTCCTCGTGGTTGCTGGAGTCGGTTGCCATCAAGTGGATGCCCACTCCTGGTGATCCCAGGTGTGTCAGAGCAGAACAGTGCTCCGGAGGGCTGTCAATGGCTAAGGGTTTCGGAAAAAGCTTGCCCGGCCTTTCTTCCCTCCAACCATACGGTCAGCAGCCGAACAGGGTAACTGTACCACAGAGCAATTACTCTAGGGTTGATCGTGTACATTACACTCGTCTCAATCAGCTCCAGGTTTATAAGAACTTAATTCAGTGAGCTATACAAACATAACTCTTATCTAGTTCCCCTGTCACTCACTTTCCATGTTACTGTTTTATATATTCCTCGAGATACTCACATTCTCCCTGGGATGACAGTGACTTGGCCAGAGTTCTCTTTCACCATCTTCCATTGACCACATCCAGCTGTTACATCCTTAACTGCTGAATGACTGCTCTAGTGTTTTTAATGGCGCCTTGGAGCATAAATGCCTTCACAGACTGAGATCCATGTTTGAGGTCTCTTTGGACTCCTGGAAGGCTCTGTCCAGCTACCTCTTTCACGCAAACTAGCCAGCCTCGATTTAGCCTGTAACTCCAATGAGTCCACCAATTGTTTCCTAATTGCCTTTATACCACACTCTCCACTGTTTGTTTTAAAGAGCACCTTAGGCTTGAACTTCTTCATCTGCTGTTGCTAAAAGTCAGTTCCTTGGGGAGAGAATCAGAGGTCCTCAAAGGAGTCTGCTTTTGTGGTCGAGGCAAAAACTCAGCACACTGCTCTGGTGCTAGGTTTGGGGTCAACAGTGTGCTTTTTCTTCAGAAGCTGAGTACTTGGTAGAAAGTGCAGTAACAGCCCAGGGGTTAGGTTTGCCTGCTGCACTGTGCCTGTTAAGCCCCAGCATTCCCAGCAGCACTGCACCTAAGGTACAGCTTCTGTCCCATGGGTGGAGATTGGTCAGAGAAGGTCCACCACCACCTCCTGGAAATTAAACTCTGCATCTGAGAGCTGGGGTGGACCTGAGAAATGCTGGCATCTGCCCACTCTTAGGACAACAGCCCTCAAACTGAAAGGAGACGGAGCTGAGGGACCCTGTATGCAGAAGTCCTGTCTTGCTAAGGTTGGATGAGGAAAGAGGTAACAGTCTTGATTCAAATACCACAGATTCTTGCTGCTCCTACTGGGTTTTAATAGAGTTTCTTGACCAAGTGGTTTCTCATCTGCTGTATGCCCTTAGGACAATTTCAAGAGAATTTTTAAGTGGTTGGTTTTTGTTACAGACTTTTCACCAGTTTCACTGGGGCCCAGGTCCAACAGACTCTCCTCTTTGACTGCTCATGCTTGTACTTTTCACTGGGCAAGTTTTCATTACTCTTGGGTGTGTATCTAGGAGTGGCAGTGCTAACATATATGGCAACACTGAGACCAATGGGAGGGTCCAAGAGAGCTGTTCTCTGAACCAAGTACACAATGTGTTTCATCACTCCTTCCTCTACCAAAAGCAGCAATGCAGAGGTGGAGAATTCATATGCGGTGTACTTACTGGCTAAATGTGACCAGCAGAACCTTTCTTCCAGGCCCTGATTCCCTTCATGATAAAGTATTATTTTCACCAGAGTGGCCAGAATGTCAAACTGCCTACTCTATCCCAACAAAGTCTGAAGCATGGATTGAATTGTGGCCACAAAATGTATGTCAACCACTATTCTCAGTGGTTTGGCAGTTACCATATACACTTGAGTATAAGCTGACCCGAATATCAGCCAAGGCACCTAATTTTACCACAAAAACTGCATTAAAAATGTGCTGAAAATCTCTGCTTATACACGAGTATATGCGGTATGTATATGTACATACGGTATGGTTGGCAGTTCTGCACTGATGTGATCATTACCAGTGATGTGATCTGAGATGATGAGTCCATCCGTTCTAAGAGGACTAAGGTGGGATCTCACTGCAGTCCTGTCAATGCCAACTCACAGCTATCCTAAAGGGCAGGGTAGAACTGTCTCTGTGAGTTTTGCAGATAGGAGTTGTGAATCAAGTGACCCCTGTGAAACCACTGTCCTAGAGCCACCGGAGGGAGAAAGCCTTCCCCTAGAACAGCAGTTCTCAACCTGTGGGTTGTGACCCCTTTGGGGGTTGAATGACCCTTTCACAGGGTCACCCGAATCATAACAGTAGCAAAATTACAGTTATGAAGTAGCATCGAACACAATGTTATGATTGGGACTCACCACAACATGAGAAACTGTATGAAAGGGTGGCGGCATGAGGAAAGTTGAGAACCATTGCCCTAGAACTAGCATCCTGAATTTGAACTTTTAGCCCCTCAACTTTGAGAATAAATTTCACCTGCTGTGGTATTTCAGGACAGCAGCACTAAAGAATGGAGAGACCGCTTTCACTGGGGTTCAGAGCCTACAGAAGTCTTCAAAAGGGTGAGCTCTCTTAAGAAAAGTCTAAGGCCCATCTTTGGATAGTCTTCAGGGAAAAGAATGTTCCTACCAAATAAGGGTATTAGATATTAAGACCATTTCTAAAAAAAAAAAAAAAGACCGTTTCCTCAAAAATCAGGATCGAGAGGAGAGGACCATTTTAAGTATTGAAATATATTAGAATTAATTATGAATATGTGTTTTAGCAGAAAACAGCATTTTATGTAGCTCTATAAGCTTTCAGATACCCTGCTTAGATACCTGCTCTCAGATTCTTCATGGCGCATACTGTATTCTCATCGCAGCAGTTAGAATCATTTAGGTAGAAAAGTTTGAGGAGCCTGCCTTCAAAAATCACAGTATACTCTCTCTCTCTGCCTCTCTCTCACACACAGAGACAGACAGAGAAAGAGAGACGGAGAGAGAACACCTCATTCACATGTAAAATTCCTTCATGGTGATTTAGTGAATTTCCTCTAAGCTTATATAAAGCACGCTGCTCATGTGCTTTGGAAATAAATGATATTCTTAAGAGATCAAGGGATGAGACTGAAATCAAAAGTAGGATCAAAGTATTCTAACAGGTTTGCCTCCCCAAAATCAACTTAGATATTTTAGCAGAAACCGGAATAAAACAAAGTACACTGATCCCTCAACCACTTGCTATTTAACACCAAGGGTTAGACTGAAAGTACATTTTTTTGAAAGATGAACAAATCTACTAATAAAAGGTAAAGGAAATGGCCCTTAAAGTATTCACTCTCAGGCGAAACACAAAACAAGTAAAACTAAACAGAAACACACAATTCTTAACCATATCTTTCTTTATGCCCAACCTCCGCCATTGTTTAGTTATGTTATATACAAAAAGGTGTAGTTAAATAACCATATACTTTGCTACGATTAATGTCACTGATGGGAGAGAGCAGATTCTTAGTGTGACGGGAAAACGATGACAAACAGCAGCTTAGATACAAACTAACCTTGGGGCTCACTGACCAACACCAAGCTGTGTAGGACTCCAGGGAGAAGGGCTTCCACCTCACCCACGTCGGGGTGAGCTTCCCGGGACAGCTGGAGGATAAAGGCCAAGATGGGTGCGAGGCGAGGAGGGGGTGAGGTGCCTTTAAAGTGAAGATAGGACTTCCTGAAAACAAGCACAGTTTCCTTTTACCTTCAGTTTAGGGTTCGAATTGGGCAGACCCAAATGTGGCATACTTGAAAGATAATGAAAACGTTTACCCCTAGAACAAAGGGCAATTTAAAGAGGGAAAATGTGTATGTTCTACGGCCGTGGTCCCTTCAAACACACAACTACACGTTCCTTTGGGTGCCACCAAGCACAAGACACAACACAGAAACAGCCCAAATGTAAAGCAGCAGGGTTTGAAAGTAATATACGCCAGACAGAAATGAAAGACTTCACTGTGAATTTGTGCATTTGCGTTTTCTGCAGGAGTCTGAAAGCGTCATGGGATAGAGAACCGGGTGGAAATGCGCGGTGGCCAATGTGGGCAATGCGGAAAGGTAGCAACGAGCACACTGCTCTCCAGAGTGAGTAGCAAGACTGGAGACACAGAGGCGGTCAGAAGGGAGTGGAGATTTTACATATCGAACTCTGTAATAGGATGAGACGCCTACTGCCTGGTCATTAACGACCATGTCTCTAACAAAGTAAAAATTAAAAAAAGCCAATATAACAATAGCATTATAACATCTTAAAGTTTAAAAAGCAATTTCATTTGAAGTTAAATACTCCGTGACAAAAAAAAGACCAGTTCTATTTTTAAATTCCTAAGGTTACAGTACAGAGTACAGTCAGTGGAAAACGTAAGGCGTTTCATTCATTCATTTGCCTAACAGTAAAACTAAGTTACCATGACAAAAAGTAGGTGAACAAAATAGGAGTCTTAATGCTTCTTTTTCACCTTAGCATTCACTTTCTACCTTATACCATTATTGTATTTTGTACAATTAAGACTACATTGAAATGAATGTTTATAAATTAAAAATTTTTTTAAACAAAACGATATCTTTAGGACATGCACAACCAAACAATCGCTAACCAACGAAAGAAGCCATTTGAAGAGCTCAGACTGTCATGAGCAGATACCAACCAACTCAGTCCTTAGATGACATTTAGTAGGAAAAAATATATTTCTAATACTTCCACTATCATAAAGATTGTCAATATTTTTGAAACACTACATTGCCCTTTTAAAATAGATTACTAAATTATACATACTACTAATTTTCAAGATGGAGAAGTACCTTAAGACTTGCGCAATGCACTTCTTTAGGAATGACGTCAGCGGGACAGTACTTGACTTTCTCAGGGCCAGCAAAACTGGATGCTGTCCAACACCTAAACCATGTGGTGAAGCCGGAAGAAAACGCCCAATATACTGCTCAATAACACTTCCAAGCAATTGATACAAATAGGTATTTGAATTTTGAGACTGGCAACACACAATACATATTCCCTACAGGAGAAAAAGGGAAAAAGAAATACTGATTGAGTTTTAAAACATAAACAATAGTTAGGAACTTAGCAGCACAGTCCCTAGTGCTCATGTTCGTGTCAGCTTGATAGCTTCTCAGTCAAAAAGGACACTTCACACCCTCAAGGTCCACGCCTGTGAGCCCCAGGGAGTGCTGGGCTTGGATCCTACACACATGCTGTGGCATCTAACCCAGTGGGTGTCCTCAGGATAGGGAAGTAGAGGTGAAGTACATGGTTAGGAAGACGACACGTGTTTTTTTCCCCTTTCATACTCAGTACATTTTATCTCCACACTCATCAACCACTATCAATGTAATTATGATGTTATACCATACATTGTAAAGTACAATATATGTTATGTAGAATATTGGTCTGAATAAGACTACACAATTTATGCTAACAATCTTACATTAAGAAATGTGATGATTGAAAAAAACAAAGGGAGAGAAATTCAAAAGATGATTGGAATAACAGTAATTTATTAGAAAATTTTATATGCCAGGCAGTGGGCCACATACTCCTTATGTCCTATTTCATTCAAACCTTGGAAACTCGGTAAGTTCCCATTACTGCATCTCCATTGTATGGCTGGGGAGACTGAGGACTAGTGACGCTGTGAGTCTCCTCAAGGTCCCCCTGAAGTACAGGGCCTTGTTGCGTGCCTGCAGATTTAATCCCTCCCATTTAAACAGTTACCAAAATAACTTCATATGGATTATAGAACCTAATACTTAAATGATTAAGCAAATACCTTGAGAATTAGGAGTGTTTTCCTACCAATATTATGAAATATCCCATGTATCTAAATACAGATTATCACTAACACAGCGACAAATTATGTTCTACAAATTCATTTATAATTTGGTACTTTGTGATTCACACTGTGCTTTCCCAGAGAAATAATGAAAAATGTTAGATATCAATCCATTTTAAATATTTACCTCCAAAAAAATTATGAGTTTGTTTTAAATTAAAAATAGCACAGCTATAAAATGCTAGTAATTAAAACAGCAAAATTAGAACAAATACATAACTAACTAACTAAATAATGGATTCCTGCCTCCCTGACTCAGTTTCTTGTTTTGCTGTTGCTTAAGGAATAGCAAGGAGACCTAGTGGCATAGTGGGTTATAAGCTGGGCTGCTAATTGCAAGGTCAGCAGTTTGAAACCATCAGCTACTCCCTGGGGGAAAGACGAGGCTTTCTACGTCTGTAAAGAGTTACTGTCTCAGAACCCACTGAAGCAGTTCTGCCTTGTCCCATAGGTTCCTGCCCAGATTTGGACAGACACCACGCAGTGAGTTTTGTTCGTGGTTTGGGAAGGAATAGCACATTAAGGCAAAGAAAAATGAAGCCACCAGTGGATACTTGAAAAAGTTTCTATGATTGCAAAGTATTCAGTCGACAAAAAAATTTCTCAAATCCCAAGTTAGGAAGAACGTATCTTCAGTATCACACATTAATGAAGAATAAAGCACACTGCCACCCCAATTCCAACTGCCTACTAGACATAGTTAACTAGGTCTTCTGCACCATGTCAAACTAAAGCTGTTCAGAAATGAATTCTTCCCTTTACCGCTGCCTCTGGGAAATGGTTCATTTCAGAAATCAGCACCATCCACAAGTCACACAAAAGTGAACAACAAAAAACCCTACTGTGGTCAAATTGATTGTGACTCCTAATGAGCCGGTGGGACAGAGTAGAATTTACCCAATGGACTTTGAAGGTCATACATCTTTCTGGAAGCAAACTGCCATAGCTTTCTCTCACGGAGTCACTGGCAGGTTTGAACTACCAAATTTCCCGTTGGCAGTGAAGTGCCTAACTCATGAGCTATCAAACTCCTACGAGTCAATCATTCTGACATCTCAGAAGTATTCCACTTCTGTTGCTCAGAAAGTTTTTGTGATTCAAGCTCTTGAACGTGCCTAAGTTCAAAACGTTCTGAGTTCGAAACTTGCAGCCACTGTATGGGTTATTGTAATGAGTTACTACTTGCTGCCCCTCAGGCCCTCAATCTAACCTCCACCCCAATTAGTTTAGATGCCACCAGAATCACCTTTATAAAATGCAAATGTGACTATATCAGTCAAATTTTGCTCAAAATGCAGCTACAGTCCTCCTGTAGGAATAGGTGTAAATTCTTAGCATGGCATGTTAAGGCCTCCCATTATGTAATTCTTTCCCAGTGACTCCCCACCTCCATCAGAATGATTTGTTCCCTCTAGTGTGTCATATTCTCTTAACAGTCCTGCCTTTGTCAATATACCATATATGTTCCCTCTGACAGGAATTCCCTGCCAACCCCCCCTTCTTTGACACTTCATATCCTCTAGTGCAGCAGTTCTCAACCTGTGGGTCGCCCTTGGAGGTCAAACAACCCTTTCACAGGAGCGGCTCAATTCATAACAGTAGCAAAATGACAGTTACGAAGTAGCAACAAAGATAACGTTATGGTTGGGGGTCACCACCATGTGAGGACCTGCATGAGGAAGGCTGGGAAGCACTGCGCTAGTGTCTTCTTTCACATGCCATCCTTCCTTCCCAGTGAGGCTGGCAGATAGCTAAGGTCTCCAGAAGAGCACTGTACTGCTCTCAGCATAAGCGTAGGGCAGCTTCCTCTTGACCACAAACTCCTTCAGGGCAGAGACTTTTGACCTTCGCCATCTTTGCTTTCAGAACCAAGCACAAAAGAATCTAAAGCCTGTTCAGAGGAGGTGCCATTTGAATTTACAATGTAACTTTGAAATCTGCTTTAGGAAACCATGTTTTCAGGCAGAATTTCAAAGAAATAGATTTACTTTAAGCAGTCACATTTACTATACCTGGAGATACAAAGGAAGACTCTTCTGAATTGCAGTCAACATAGCTGCAGGCAGCTCCTTTTCTTGCTGTAACACTGCATGTGGCAGCAGCAAACAATCTATGATCCGGAACAGTAACTTCTGGGCTTTAGAGGTGGCAAAGATCTGTGCCCATGATTTAACAAGAATTCCTAACAGAGGAAGGCAGAAACAGCAGTTATGGCTATCTTTTCACCAGAACATGGGATCATCCAATAAAAAACACAGAATGAGAGCATACAGAGCCACCTTAAAGTAGACAATAGGCGGAAAGACATGGTTAGGAGTCCAAAGACCTAGGTTAACAAAGGAAGTCACCTCTACTTCTACAAAATTAAATAGCTCTCAACACTCTGGGCCACGCTCACCCACTCACTACCACAGAGTCCATGCCAACATGGAGTGAGCCTGGAGGACAGGGTGGGTTTCCAAGACTGATTACAGGAGCAGAATGTAACCCCCGTGGGTTTCCAAGACTGATTACAGGAGTAGAATGCTCCCTGAGACTTGGCCAAGAGAAACAAAACTTTCCTAAGCAGCTGGTACTTAAGTACCATATATACTTGAGTATAAGCCGACCCGGATATCAGCCGAGGCACCTAATTTTACACAAAAACTGCATTACAAATGTATGCAGTTATACAAATGTATACACACATGAGTATGTAAACACACACACACACACACACACACACACGTCTATAATTACATAACTATATACTCATCCTCACAGATACATTATGTAAGTGTATATACTGAATGGTGAAATTAATCAGATTATTTTTGCTTTGACTGCTAGGAAGCTCAGGGGGAAATATCCAATCCAACTTCAGAACAGGGTAAGATTGTACATTGTGCTTTTGTGTCTACACTAACTTTTACCTGGCCCTCATCATGCTGCTCTGTTTTTATTTTCTTGACTGTTTCCCTATACATTTTTAATCTACATAAATGTTTAGACGGTCTCAATTTAGTTTATCATGTAAATTAGAGTAAGTAATACAAAAAATTAGATTTGCTGCTGTATTAGTCTGGGTACTTTGGAGAAACAAATCCACGGCGACTCACGTATAAGAGAGAGTTTTATGTAAAGAAAAGGTGCATCACGAAAACATCCCAACCCAATGCTGCCCAAACCCACGAGCCCAACATTAACCCATTAACCCAACACCAGTCCACAAAGTCCTCCACCTCACAAAACAGAGGCAATGATGCCGACTGCAGGAGGAAAGCTGAATCCGTGAACGTGTAAGCATCTCAGCACTGGCAAGGGTCTCCACACGGCTGCTCCAGCACCCAGGGCTGCATCGGGATAGATCCATGCGGCTTCTCCTTGGGGATGTCTTGTAGGAAGTCAATCTTGCAAGCTGAAGCAGGAACTGCTAAGGCAGCTGCACCCGATGCAACCATCACAAAACAAGAGACCCGAGAACTAGAAAGGCGAGGCTTCACCACCCATTTATCCCTCCGCCTTTCAACCAGCACCACATGTGATTATCGGCCAGGCTGGCACAATTAACTAACTCAGCTGCATACTTTGGAGTACATTTAACTTCCCCCAAACGTCAATTTTTACACCTCTCAGTAAATGGCAACAGCAAAATAAACCTGGAGAATACTTGGACTCTCCCTTCCTACCACTTAATAGACACAAAACCAAACCAGTTGCTCCTGGGTTGGTTCCGACTCACAGACGGTCTCGATGTGCGAGAGTGAAGCTGCTCCACAGGGTTTAAAACAAAAACTGCTTTACCTTGTTGCTGGGAATGTATGTACCCAGCGATACAAGCGTCAGCGAGCAGCTCTGTGACTTTCGGGGCTGTGTGGCCGTTCTCATCTCCCTTTCCCGATGGGGGCACTCTGTGAATGTAAACTAAGTGCCGCACGTGCGTGTCGCCCACCTCATCTTTTAAGCTGCAACGGTCGATTTTGATCTGATAGAGATAGTACTGAAAATAGCACAGCGCTCAAGGCAGAAGTTTTTTTATTTTATTAGTTAAGCTAAATAATCTTGGATTTTAAGTAGACTTCAGGCTTATTTTCTTGTTTAAGATTTAAAGACTATCCCAAGTCATTATGTTTCAGAGGTTTCACTAGCCTGCATGGGCATCTGAAAGTATGTTCTCCAAGTACCCCCTTTCTAATCATAGCCCTTTTATGGAATTTTTTCTTTAAATGTTTGTAACAGAAGCTGGGCACCATCTAGTTCTTCCAGTCTCCCAACAAAGACAGCAGGTGCTCCTGGATGCAATTAGTCACACAATCCATTTTCTTCCTCCTCTTCCCGACTTCCCCTTCTTCCTCAATTGTTCCAGGCAAATAGAAGCCATTTGCTGTGCCTTGCACTGCTACCTGCAAGCTCTTGAGACGCCAGGCACTACAAAGAGTACTAGGAGGGAGAACAGTGCCACGGCATACATTATTAGGCTCATTAACCGAGATGCCCTATGAAACTGTAACCCTCACTTCCAAACCAAGGAACCCAATCACAAGAAGTTTTCGGCTGCACATAGGCAGCTTAGTTTTCCTTACAATAGCAGTTCTAATTTCTGATTTTTTTTTTGGAATTAGATTGCCAAGTCTTTCTTCCGAGGTGTATCTGGGTGGGTCGGAACACCTCATATTTTAGTTAGCTGCCGGGCACACTGACCATCTGTGTCACCCAGGGACTCCATACACAACCAACATGAGTTTAGCTTTTGGTTCTGGAAAACAAGAAAAGAACTCCCTTACTACTTGTAATGAACTATGGTGTTTTGATATTAGGAGTTTGTCAAATGAACAACCTCTATTTAATAAAGCAACTAAGAGCAGGCATATAATTCCCATTAGGCTTTATTTAGGCTACTAAGGTTCCCTATCCTGAAAAACAAATTCAAAAGGGGACAACATACTAAACTACTAAAATCACATCTACTGCATATACTGTTATATTTTATTTGCTTTTAAAAATTAAAAAAAAACACCCACAAAATATAAGAATAGCAAAAAATTGCAAAATTCTAAGTCATTTTCATATAACAAAAAGTTAGCAATTCAAGCTCTGAAAGAAAACAAAAATATGCTTACAGAAGAGTCTACTGATGTTAAAAAAACAAACCAATAATCGCTTCCAAGAACAACAAACAGCAACATTAATCTTCTGTTGTAAAAGGAAATACAATAATCAATCATAAAGAAACACAATGTTCACTTAGCAGTATTTTAAATAATGCTGTCTTGCTCTAGTTTCTCCAGTAGGTGGGAAGCTGAAGTCTGACAGCAATGGGAGGAGAGCTGGCTTTCCAACACTCACACCCGCAAGAGGAACTGCCACCGCTACTGACGCTGGGAATGATTCCTATCACTCTCGGGTACCACACAGGGATTACTTAGAAAGAGCAGGGGCCCCCCAACCCAAAATGCATCATCTATTCTTATTTCATCTGGTGCAGTGGTTAAAGCCCTTTGCTTGAACACCTTAAGTTTTTATGAGTTCACAGAAGGCAGATGTGAAACATTTATTTTATTGCCATATGAAACCGTGCTTTCTTAAGGTTCAGCAGAGAATATTGCTGTGTGCATGTTAAAAATGCAAACAGGAACTATGAAGAGGAGGGAGTTTTTAAAGTAAAAAACTTGGGAGTGATTTAAATACATACCATTGCTTTACAGAAAAACCATTTTTGCCTGACAATGAACATTTTACATACTGACTGATAGCTGGAAAATACATTAAAAAAACAATAATGTGGCACTAATCCCACCATCTAAAGATAACCATTGCAAAACTTCTCGTTCCTTTTCATCTCGATCTTTACACACACACACACACACACACACACACACACACACACACACACACCTCGGAGGATGGCTGGGGTTAGAGCCCAGGGGTCCACTCTTCTCTGCCCCTCCCTTACCCTCAGCTACTCTTGGGGTGGTGGGGGTGGGGTGGGGTGAGCATTCTGAGTCTCACACCCAACTCAGAGCATCTCAGGACAGAGCAAGGCAGCAGGTCACTGT